TTCTTCAGTCTCCCATGTTCGGGGATCATATGTACGTGCCAGCATATCTGCTCTAGATCTGTTTTTACAAATAACCTTTAGACGCATTGTAAGAGTAAAGTAGGAGAATTCATAGAAATTCTTGGAAGTAGTGGAACATTTTGGGCTTGGTTGGGTCAGGTCCTCTTGAGATGGAGGACAGCAAAGAGCCTGATAAGGGCTCTTTTGAAACCGGTAGGCATTTAATGGGTAGCAGAATAATTGTTGAGTGTCTCAGGTTGGGAGGGGCTACAGTGATGGAAGGAGAGAGCCCTGCCCCCAGCCTAGAGTTATTCATGGAGAAGACAGAAGAGTAAACTGATGCCCAGAGCTAGTTTCCTGGGTTTTCTGTAGACTTGAGAGGGAAATACCTCCCCAGACAGCACCGATTAAAGGTCCATTGCCAGGAAGTGAGGTCTGCCTTTCCGTCTACTTTGTGTGTGATCTCAGCGTGGCAGTGTGCTGTGTCAACACATGAGGCCCAGCTCTGGGCCAGTGAGTTGCTCAGTGGAAGCATGGAAGCACGCCATGAGTTACTTGTCCTCTGCTCTCCACATGTGCCTGTGGTACACATACCCTCTCATCCCTACATACACACAGGAATAAATAAATGGAAAGCAAGACAGCCCACGGCCCTCACCTCAGAGGGAGGAAGAGTATTCTGAGCCATGTGAGTCACCTTGGCCCAAGAATAAAGGATTGGGGTGTTCCAAGTAAAATGTCCCAGCACAGAGGCTGTCATGAACGTTGTGTAGTTGCAGAACAAGAGGCAGGTCCAGGCATTTACCACGTGCACCGGTGGGAACACGAGGCCGGCAGCTCAGCAAGGTTTGGATCTTCTGCTGCCGTTGTAGAAATGGCGGTGCTGTCTGATGAGGCTCTGCTGAGAACACATGGCAGAGCTTTTGCCTGATAGTCAAAGGGATGTTAGGTCAAACAGTAAGGTGGGCAATGAGTGGCAGTTAAGGGGGGGAGTGATAACCCAAGATAGTTTGGCTCTGGAACTTTAATACTCCAACTCTCCACAGTGGTGTTTTCTGTTCAGAAAGCTGGACTTAGTTTCCTTTAACAGAAGAGGCTCAGTTCCCAAACACAGCTTTGCAATCTCTCAGGGTGTTCTGCTAAACTGAAAAAACGCAGAGCCTGTTACAGGGATGTTGACACCCATGTTCTGGACTAGACCCTGGAGATGGGATAGACTTGCAGAAAGAAGGTCTGAGGACTGGTCAGGGTAGGTGCTCCTCTACCCTGTGGGCCATCTGGAGTGCTATGTATTTAGGTGCCTTAGTGGTACACAGCCCCATCTTCCTGCAGATCTACACGTCAATTGTAGAGGTCCATCAGGAGAGTTCCCTGGGAACACTGTGCGGCTGGCCTTGCCCCATCTTGAAGCTCAGCTTCTGGTGGCCTTTGGTCTGCTGAAAACTAGTGAAATGGCACCAGGTTTGGCCCGATAATACAGTAATGGTTTCAGACCTTTGAGCACCTTCTGTCTCCTCCAGAGCAGCCTGCAGCCATGCTGGGAGTTAATTACAGGTCAGTGGTTTCACTTACAATTGTGAGACATCCTGAGGATGCATGGGAAGACTGGACCCTTGACCTTATGGAGTTTTGTAAAAATGCTTTCCAGGATAGGTTCTTTTGTTTTTATTTTTTAATACAGGGTTTCCCTGCGTAACAGCCCTGGCTGTCCTGGAACTCACTCTGTAGACCAAGCTGGCCTTGAACTTTGAGAGATCTGCCTGCCTCTGCCTCCTGAGTGCGAGGATTAAAGGTGTGTGCCTGTTAAGATGGGTTCTTGATTATAGTTGGACACCAGGGTACACATGACAGGGACATAGACCACAGTGGCCAGCAAGCTTGTGTCTGACCTCATATTTGTTACAATGATTTTCTGATATTTTCTTTTAGCATTAGGGATTTTGCTTTAGATGAGAAAGCACGCTTTTTTATTATGGGGTTTCACAAACACAGCAGGGAAGTACAAGGGCCCCTCATGTGCCTGTGAACAGCCCTGGCACTGACCGTCTAGGCCTGTCCTGCCATCGGTACTCCCTGATTCTTCTGAAGAGATGCTCAGCAGGCTGGTTCCTGGTCCAGATGTATGTCTGTGTACAGCGCTAGAATATGATACCCCTTGTCATAGCAGCTTACACATGAACTTGGTCTCCGTGATGCCAGATGTCTAGTTGTCTCACCAGCATCTCTGAGGTCCTGAGCTATGTACAACCTTGTTTGAATTTGGCTTCAGGCATGATATTAGTCTCTTTTTATAAAAAAAAATTATGTGTGTGTTCCTGAAGTTATGTACATGCGCTACATGCATACAGAAGCCTGCAGAGGTCAAAAGAGGATCGGGTCCCTTGGAACTGGAATCATAGACAGCTGTGAGCTACCATGTGAGTGCCAAGAACTGAGCCCTGGTCCTCTGCAAGAGCAGGAAGCACAGTTAACCTGAGAGCCATTCTCCAGTCCTCATTATGTCTCTTTTGACATTTTGTTCCGTTTTGGTTTTTGAGACAGGCTGTCTGTAGTCCTGGCTGTCCTAGAGCTTGCTCTACAAACCTCTATAAACCAGGCTGGCTCCAGCTCAGAGATCTGCCTGCCTTTGCCTCCCAAGTGCTTGAATTAAAGGGGTGCACCACTGTCTAGGTTCCATTTGTGTCTCTTTCTGACTTTCTGAGACGGTTCCTCTGTATCACTAGCTGTGCTGGAACTATATCCCTGGCTCTCCTGAAACTCCATCTGTAGACCAGAATGGCCTCAAATTCAAGAGATCCACCTGCCTCTGCCTGGGTACTGGGATTAAAGATGTTCTCCACCCTTGCCTGGCAGCCATTTATGTTGTTCCCCCCCCCCCCCAGGGTTTCTTTGGGTAGCCTTGGCTGTCCTGAAACTCACTTTTTTAGACCAGGCTGGCCTCAGACTCAGAGATGTGTGTGCCTTTAACTCAGAGATCTGCCTGCCTCTGCTGGGATTAAAGGCCTGTGCTACCACCTCCCAGCTGATCTCAGGTTTTATAAATGCTGGACAATTGTTCTACCAACCATACCATACCTGTAGCCTCTCAAGATAGTTTTTTTTACTTACTTGTTTGTGGTTCTATTTTGAGACAAGTCTCATGTAGCCAAGGCTGGCCTCTGACTTGCTTTTATAATCAGGATACCCTTGATTTCCTGATCCTGCTTGTACCTCAAGATTGCTGGGATTATGGGTGTGGCTATCACACCTTCAAGGCGGCTTTTGAAGTGAGTGATGTATGTAATGCATGCATTTGAGGTATAAGGTTGAGATGAGAATATGGCCTTTTAGTTGTGTGTTAATTGTGCCTTCCTGTATGCATGACATGTACTACCATAGAAGCACTGCTCAGTAGGGATAATGTCTGTCCTCTGCACTGTCTCCTTCCTTTTGACTTGTTTACTGGAGACACTGTCTCTGGCCTGGAAGATTACAGAGTCTGAGTGTTGCTGTGTGGGCTCCCACAGTGTCTAGCACAATCCTTCCTGAGCACTTCCTTAAGTTGGCATGATTTTCTCAGCAGGATGGCTTTAGTTGGCCATGTGTTTTTTTCCCCCAGAATGTACAGACACTGTTTCTGCTTTGATGGTCACATTTGATCTTAGCCAAGGGCTAAGAAGCAGTTTTACTTTTTTGTTTGTTTTGAGAGCTGAGGATGACCTTGAGCTCTTGATCTTTCATTTTTGGAATGCTGAGGTTACAGGGTTAGGGTTCCCGTGGTACTGGGGATGAAGCACAGGGCTTCCTGCTGCCACGTCCTCAGCCTCTCTTCCCAGTCAGTCACCTCTTTGTCAGTATCATCAGGAACTTAGGCCATTGGTGTGTTTGCTAAGTCTGTTATTTGCAGTTCATTGATTCCCAGGTTGTCTCGCCTTTGCCGTTGGAGCTTTTGATTTGGCCTTTTGGCTTTGTCCATTTTGTTGCTATTGTAGCAGTTTGTAGTGAACAGAAACACACTGGCTCGAAATGCCAGTGTAAATTTTGAATGTTGTAAAATGCAGTAACTGGTGCCAGTGTCTGGTGAGGTGTCCCTGCTGTGTGAGGACAACAGGAGGCAAGTGTGCCTGTGCGAGCTGACCTCACTTGTCACTGGAGACCTACGCTCTCCAGAGTGACATTGATAACTTATTTGTTCACAAGGGCAGATCTTTGGACCAGTCTGTATAAATCCACATTTGGTGGATATTTGGCTTCACAGGTGTCTGGTTATGTAGCTCATTGAGAAGGGGGAAGAGAAAAGGGAAGTGCCCAAAGCATGCGTGTGGGTGTGTGGGGGGGGGGGGGTGGGGGGGGGCGGCTGCTGAAAGCCTATTGGTTGATAATTAGAAGCTTAGCTTCAGAGAGTGGATGGCTGTCGTCTCTAGTACCATGTGGGCCTTAAGGCCAGCTTTCTTTTTCATCTTTACATTAGGTATTCATCCTTTCATTCCTGATGCTTGAAGAGAATATCTGTTATAATTTTTCTTTCTTTAGACAGTTTCTTTTTTCTCTCTCTCTTTTTTTTTTCTTTTTTTCTTTTTTTTAATTGGGGTTCTCATGCTGTAGCCTGGCTGACCTGGATCTCCCTTTGTAGACCAGGTAGGCCTTGAACTCACAGAAACCTACTGTCTGTGTCTGGCAAGTGCTGGGCTTAAAGGCTTGTGCCAATGCCCTTATGGAGATCAATTGGGTCAATTTCAAGAGTGGATATTTAGCTGGGCTTGGTGATATACACCTTTAATCCCAGCCCTTGAAGAAGAGACAGGTGGATCTTTGAATTTTAGGCCAACCAGAGAGCTACATAGTGAAACCCTGTCTCAAACAAACACAACTCGAGATGTCAAAATTTAAAAAAAAAAAAAAAAGTGTATTTAAAAGCTGTTAACAGAGCATAGGCTTTGTAGAAGCTGAGTTCATTCCAAAATATTTCTTCCTCAGATTGCCAGTATTCACACGATTTCTGCATAAATATAGAACAGATATGATCCCGTAGGAAGACCCAACCGCAGAGCAGTGACAGCCTGGTCACTGAAGGATGAACGGGGAGGAAGAGTTCTTTGATGCCGTCACAGGTGAGCAACTACAAGAGACATGACCCAGAGACCACATCCTGTCTGGGACTCTGTAGGGTTTGGCCTGACTCAGCACAGCAAAGCCAGGGCTGTAACCCCAGCTGTTAAAAGACAGCTGACATTAGCTTTTTAGAAAGACAGTGGTGTCTTCTCTTATGAGGAGAACCTTGACTGAAGGGCAGTGGGGTCTGGGCCCTTTGTAAGAACCTCCATGAAAGCAGTCAGTTTTACTTGTATGTATGAATGTGAATCACACACATGAGCAAAAGAGACATATAAGTGACATAAAGTAACTGTAGAGATAGCCAGAGAGACATAGACTTCCTTACATATACACTAAGGTGGGCCAACTGAGCCTGTCAGCAGGAATAACAAGTGTTCTTAAATAGTAAGCCATCTCTCTAGCTCATTAATACTTATATAAAAATGAGTTTTATAATTAGTTTTCATTGTTTAAAGTACATTATGAAATAACTTGTCTAGAGCTAGAGAGGTGGGCTAGTGGGTAAGACTGCTTGCTGTTCATGAAGAACTAAATTCAAGTCTCTGGTTCTCACATGGGAACTAAGCACACAGAGGCAGGCAGATCTTTGAGTTCAAGACCAGTCTGGTCTACATAGCAAGATCTAGGCCTACCAGAGATATATACATAAATGGGGGCTGGAGAGATGGCTCAGAGGTTAAGAGCACTGGCTGCTCTTCCAGAGGTCCTGAGTTCAATTCCCAGCAATCACATGCTGGCTCACAACTATCTACATGCCAGAACACTGCGCATATAATAAATAAATAAAAGATAAATAAACAAAATATTTTAATAAAAATACATAAATGAACAAAGAAGGGAGGAGGAGCTAAGCATGGTTTGGCTATATATGCCTGTAACCCCAGTCCTGACGAGGGAGCCTCACAGAAACAGGAAGATTGCTAGAGCTGGCCAGTCTGCCAGTCTACCTGAAAATGAGTTCCACACTCAATGAGAGACCCTGTCCCCAAAGACAAAATGGAGAGCGATAGGGGAAGCCACGTGCCACCCTTATTTGTCCTAGATTATTCATACAAGTGACCACATGCATACATAACACACGTGCGCTGACGCATTGCTTCCCTGCCCTCATAGTAGCTATCTTAAAGCTCAGTCTTTATGTTTGAAGTGGCCGTTGTACGTGGTGGTGTGCACCATTGAGCCTCTGGGCAGTGGTTAGTAGGTGAACAGGGCAGAGGAGAACTGGGTCCCCTCAGAGGTCTGGAGACTCCGGTTATGGCTGTCTGTCCTTCAGCATTTCAGTTATTTACTGTGCTGCCCCGTAAGGTCCATATTCAGAGTGCCATTTTGTTTTCTGTGAAGGACTACTCATTGCCCATGGAAAGGGACTTTAAGGCTTATCTGTTCCCTTTCTTGTCCTTGGCTTTAAGTACATAAACAGAGCAGCTTTGAAGTATTTCAGTGGCTCCCCAGTTACAGCTCCACCAGAATATTACCTCCCTATCCCCCTGCTTGCTAGAACCTCCATTTTCCTGGAGCATCTGGGTATGGAATAGTCAGTCATTCATTGCTCTGTCCATTGCTGGCCAATGACGCTGGTGGACTTACTGAAATCCCACAGGGAGACACCAAGTTCCTTGCCATTTCCAAAGCTCAGTGGAACCAAACTCAGTGGTTCTGTTTGTGTGCCTACAAGAGGGGCCATGCCTGCCCTAGGAAGACTACCTCAGATGTCTCCATGCCCACAAGTCCCCTACAAGTTCCCTTTTACTTAGGGATTCAGTGTAGCACGTACTACTGCAACACCTGAGCTTTTGGATAAACTTATCTTGATAGTCCCCCAAGATGGCGTCAGTGTTATGATGGTGCTCAGATGGTCTCCACCATCCCAGCACGCTGCAGTGGACTGTGGAGGCACTACACCCACACAGCAATGTTGTGTGTGTCCTGACACTGAGGTCACTGGCTGAGCTGGGAACCACTTGAAAATGATCAGACAGGGTGGTGGTACATTATCCCAGCACTCGGGAAGCAGAGACTGGTGAATCACTGTGAGTTTGAGGCCAGACTGGTCTACATAGGAGTTCCAGGCCAGCCAGGTGATAATGACACATGCCTTTTAATCCCAGCACACAGGAGGTAAAGGCAGGTAGATCTCCGAGTTTGGGCCAACCTTGTCTACAAAGCAAGTTCTAGGACAGTGAAGGCTACACAAAGAAACCCTGTCTCCAAAAGCCAAACAAATGAAAAAAGAGTGCCTGGCTAGACGTGGATCCATAGTGAGGCCTGTCTCAAAAACAAAACAGACCTTTAGGCTTCTGTTTGTGTAGAGGCTTGAAGTAGATGTCTGTATCTTCCAAGTCTAGCAAAGATGACCAGTTTGCTTATTTCTTGCAGGCTTTGATTCTGATAACTCTGCAGGGGAATTTTCAGAGGCAAATAAAACCAGTGGGATGATTGATTTGGACACCAGCAAAAGTACTAGGAGTGGGAAAAGTGGTGAGAGACCACCCCAGGAGAATGGGATTCAACAGCACAGGTATGCGTCTTCACACGTTGTTCCAGAGTTTTCCAAAGCATATCTGTGGTTACCCCATATGTACTAAACGCATCCCCTTAGGTCTCATGAATTAAGCAGGTGCATCCCCAGTTCCAAGGCCACTTTTCCAGGCACTCTAGCCACCAAAGTCCCCTGAGACTTGCCTGTCTGCTGGGGGCATGGATACTGTGGATCAGTGTTTGACCCATTCCGTGAAGTGATCGTTCTGTCCCAGAACGGCTTAGAGCCTGTGCATAACATGATCCATAGACCTCACCCACAGACACCAGGTTAATCTTGTCCCTTCTGTGTCTTACTGAGATAGGCTTGGCTGGGCTAGTGGAAATAGCAAGGTTCTCTTGTCTCTTCTGTATCTCACTGAGAAATGTTGGCCACTGACCTTGTAGGGACTGAAAGGGTTTGATTAATTGCTACAGCAAACACACATTCCGTTTTGCCACCACCATGTTCATTTGGGTATCTGGACTATGATAACAGTGGTCATGATGGAAAGTCCTCAGTCTGTGTTAGGAAAAGCAGGAGCACAGAGGGATAATCTGTGGGACATAGGATTATCATAGTATGCACACTTATACTAAAAGGTGTTTTGGGCCTCAGTGGACCCTGCAACCTCACTGCTGACTTTATACATGGGCCCATTTCCCTTCAGGGCAGGTTCCCTCAGTGCCTAGACTGCTCACCCTTCTCTTGTCCTTCACTCGTGCGTTTAGTGGGTGCAGGGACACATCACATAGGCTGTGAGGGCCTGTCTCAGGCAGCTTATGCTCACTCTGTACCTCACCCTCTCTCTCCTAAGTGTGATCAAACACAGCACTGAGCTCGAGACCACTATCTCATTCTCTGTCACCTGATCTGATGCTTCTCCACACTCTCATTTCCACTATGCATCTTCATGCAAGGGTTGTGTATTAGTTACTTTTCTGTTGCTGTTATCAACACCATAACCAAATCAGGTTGCAGCTCATCATCAGGGAAGCCAAGGCAGGAACTGAAGCAGAGACCGTGGAGGGAGGCTGACCGTGGACGGAGGCTGCTCACTGTGTTGCTCCCATGGCTTGCTCAGTTTGCTTCCTTATGCAATCTAGGACCACGTGCTGAGGACTGGCACTCCCATGTCAATCATTATTCAAGAGAATCCCTATATGGACTTTCCTATAGGCAGTCTGGTAGAGGCATTTTCTGCGAGGAGGTTCCTTTTCCCAGATAATCCTAGCTTCTGTCAGGCTGACAAAAATAAACCAGCACAGGTTGTATCCTTGGGCCTAACCCTGATCCTGTACAGAGCTGTATTTTCCACTTCTTGTGGCCCTCACAGTTTGCTATGTGCACAGCATTCTAGCTATTTTTGGCAGCCCTGGTGCATATTTCTTTGGAAACTGTAAGGATTTCTTTCCTTTCCTGTTTTGTCTCAGAGTGTTTTTTCTTCCTCTTGTCTTGACTCAAGTTACTCACATGAGCCCTTTCTGACAGGCAGACCCCAACTGTCACCATCCCTGAATCACAGTGCCCAGTCAGTGTTCTCCTGCTCAACTTCAGTGAAATGTCACTGAGAGTTCCACAATAAAAACCAAAGTGACCTCTAAGGGCTCAGAGTAGTCATGCATGTCTGAAGGCTTGCTCTGTACTTCTCTACACTCCTGTGATGAGCCACATTCCTTCCTCCCTCATGGAGACAGTGCTCAGTATAGTCCACAGTTTCTGGAAGGAGCTATAGTCTGTCCCCAGTAGCTAGAGCAGGAGTTGAGACTAAGGTTGCTGCTGGGCTCTTGTTGGATAGGAGGGCAGCTTAAGAAGACACGCACCTTGGGAAGGCGGGTCTATGTCAGAAGGGCGGTAACTAATTTTGGAGGTTTTCTTGACTCATCTCACTCTTTAGTCTCAGCTCTGCCCGCCATCCTGGGGTTGGGCAGAAGACCCTAAGGGGGCAGTGGGGGTGTGAGCAGAGGGATTCTGTTCTCTTTGTCAGCCTGTCTCCTGCTCACAGAAGGAAAATGAGGCCTGGCCATTGCAGGCTCAGGTCAAGACTCCAAGGTTGCCATAACCAATAACCATTACCAGGACTTAAAAGCAGTGGCGCAGACTCCCTGCAGTTTCAGCTTTGGCAGCTTCTCTCCTGGTTGTACTATTGTGCAGAGGCTGATATTCTTAAGCACTCACTGTGAATACACACGCACACACACACACACACACCACATACTCTATTGGTTAATAAATGCCTGTTGCTCTCAAATTGCTCACAGGACAGCCCTTCCTGCCCCCATGTTCACCAGAAGCGATTTCAGCGTGTGGAGTATCCTGAAAAAGTGCATTGGTTTGGTGAGTGCAGATAACTAACTCATTTGAAGTGTAGAACTTAGATATTCCCATTAGATTTGCTCTGTTGGTAGGTAAGAGAATGTATTATATGTATGTATGTATGTATAAATGTGTATATATATATAAATCATGAAATTAAGATAACAAGGCAGGAAAGGAAAAAAAAATATGTAAGGGGAACAGCACAACGGCAATTTTACAGTTAAGCAGATGGAGGAGACATCCTGTAAGGCCTTTCTTCTAGTGCTCTAAGATGTGCTCTTTGCTTATGACCTGAACACCTTCTGCATGAGACAAGATGGGGCCCTAGCTACACACTGGGCTTCAGAAAGCTTCTGTCAAGTCCCCAGGCTTTGTGTCAGGAAGTATCTAGTAGCTATAACTTTCCATATAACCTCTGACTATTAGAAGCTAGTGTGCCCATATGGTCTCTGCACATTCCATGCATAAACCAGAACTTGCCAACAAGACAAAAAGATTGCAGAGGTACCCATTGCTGAATTTCATATGTGTCTACGTGCATTGTTTGTTTGTTTGACACAGGGTTTCTCTGTAGCTTTGGAGCCTGTCCTGGAACTCCATCTGTAGACCAAGCTTGTCTCTGTGCTCTGAGCTCTGGGATCAAAGGCATGTGACTCCACTGCCTAACCTACCTACATTCTTTAAATGCCATTTTTTTTTGTTGTTGTTGTTGTTGGTGGTGGTGGTGGTGGTGGTACTTATTTCTATATTTTCTTCTCAGAGAATACTTGGCTTTCTTCCTCCTTTTATTTTAAATAACTTTAGACTGATTAAAGGTAGATAGATTGTTATGGGGGTTGGCATTGGAAGCTGGAAGAAGGAATAATTAGAGATTCTCTTCTGGAACACAGGAACACAGACGTTAGGAGCTCTTGTCTGTGCTACCTTAATTGCTTGATCCCTACTGCAAAGTTTTCCTGTTTTTTTTTTTTTTTTTTTGTTTGTTTTGTTTTGTTTTAATGATTTTGCATGGGTCTGGGAGAATCATGTAGGCTCATTAGTTTTTTTTGTTTTTTGATTTGTTTTTGTTTTGTTTTTTTGAGACAGGGTTTCCCCTGTAACTATGGAGGCTGTCCTAGAACTAACTAGCTCTTGTAGACCAGGCTGGTCTGGAACTCAGAGATCCACCTGCCTCTGCCTCCCAAGTGCTGGGATTAAATGGGATTAAAGGTGTGCACCACCACTACTCATCGGTTTTATATTTTTGATGTTTACAGATTCCTTTTATAATTTTCTTTCAAAATATTGGTCCAAAGTCAAATTCATTAAATATGTGTTAGTCAGTTTTCTGTTGCCTGTACGACAATACCATAGATTGGGTGAACTGTAAAGGAAAGATTGGCTTGCCAGACATGATGGTGCATGCCTCTAATCCCAGCACTTGGGAGGCAGGTGAATCTCTGTGAGTTAGAGGCCAGCCTGGTCTACAAAGCGACAGGACAGCCAGGGCTGGCTCCATCCAATGACTGTACCTAATCCTAATGGCTTCCCAGAGGACTGACATTCAACACCATAGATGGATTAATTTAATTCTTGACAGTTAATTGCTGAAGCCTTAGATTACCAAGACCACATCCAGAGCATGGCAGTGTGTTCTAGGAAGCTCAGCTTCCGATCCTTGTTCCAACCCGCAGATTGCTGCCTCCCGTCCTCATGGTATCTCACCCCATTCTCACACCCTGACGTATGTGTAAATCAGTCTTCTGCCCATGTCTTCAGAGGGCAATAGGCTTTTCTTTATCCCTATTCTCTCAGCACCAATCTCTAAGTGATCTTGTAACTACTTCTTGCCCCTTTCTTAGTTGTCTTTCAGTTTAGTGGGATGGTACCGTTTGGACATTAGACCATTTTTGGCTTTTGGCTGACCAAAGCACATTATAGGGGCTAGCCCTGCATTTATTTTTTGCTGAGGTTCAGAGATGGGTTCCCCAACATGGGATTGCTGGATCAGAGGAGAAATGTGTTAGCATTTTGCTAGCTGTAGCTGAGTCCTCTTTGAATGCTAGGTACCCAGTAGCAGGGGTGGAGCCTGGGTATGGAACACAAGGCTGAGGGTTTTAAGCAGGGAAGCAGTGTGCATGTAGTAAGTGCTTGTGAGCCCAGTTGGTTGGCCCTGCCTTCTGTTTCTTCCTTGCCATTGCTGACCTCTTGCACTGTGGGCTGTGGGCTCAACTTCCCTTGCTTTATAGGTATGTAATGCACAGAAGGTATGTGAAGTCTTGTCTTTTCTTGCCTTTCTATTTTTCTGGCTGCTGTCTTAGAGTTTCTTCCCTCGGCTCTCTCTTCTACTTGTTCTTGATATGCTTGATGTAGTCATAAGTTTCTTGTCCTTCCTGCTAATCTTACACAATTTGCTGTGTGGTTTTGGTCACCATCATATATATGCCAGAAGGCACCTGACTTGTAACCCTGTCCAGCAACCCCATATTCCCAAATATCTGATTGTCTCTCAGTTTGGCATGTGTCCTCTGTGAGGAGCCTGGCTGACTCTGGTTCAGGGTCTGTGAGTTCAGGCTGCCCGTGGGATCTCCCTAGATCAGTATTGTAAACAAGGCCCTAGCATTTCCCAGAATGCTGTCTCCCAGGACCTGGCTAGGAAGGCTGTCTTGCTGGTAGTTTGCTGAGCATGCTGCCTCCCCCACAGCACTCTTAGTAATCTTTATGCCTTGGCACTAGTGACGTCTGGGGCCAGTGAGAGCAGAGGGGTCACTCTGGCTCTCACTACAGAAAGTATGAAATCAACCTAAGATCCAAAGCTTGTCCTTGTTCCGGGAGCCTCTGAACCTGCTTTGTTATAAAGAGCCCATTTCCTTCTGGAAGCTCTTCTATTAATGCTTGCTCATAGAGGGTTTCTAAGATCTTGTCTGTGTGGAAATGGGAGGCTCTGGAAAGTGACCCTCAGAGCACTTGGAGTGGAGTGGGTTGCTTGCATCTGAGGCTTGCTTAGAAGGCTCAGAAACCCAACCTGTTGTCTTCTGTGTCCTTCTAGGAGCTGTCCAAGATCACGATGCCAATTGCCTTCAATGAGCCACTGAGCTTCCTGCAGCGGATCACTGAGTACATGGAGCATGTGTACCTCATTCACAAAGCCTCGAGCCAAACCCAGACCCTGGAGAGGATGCAGGTGGGCACTGCATGTGACTGTGAAGACAGCCGCGATGCCGTAACTGACTGACTGGCCCCATAGTTGTAGGGACCCAGGTATCTGGCCAGAGCGCCCAGCTGTCAGCCTCACAGAGTTGGCTTCCTTCTGGCATCTCAGTGCCACTGCCGCATGTCCATTTGCTTATGCGGTGGGTACTTACCTGTGCCTGCGTGTGTGCACATGTGTGTTCAAATATGTGGGAGTATGTGGACAGGAGTGCCAGTGTGTAAGATACACACATAACATTGCTTCAGCATCTGCAGGATGTGCAGCCTGTGGTGGAGAAAACATGTTCTCTTTTTTTGTGGCTTTGAGGAAGTAGTGTGTAATAGTAGTGTTTCCTCAGACGTTCCATCATCTGAAGAAGAAAAAAAATATTGTGAACAATAAATAAATATGAACAGCCATTGTGAGTGGAAACGCAGAAGTCAGCAGAGGAGGTGATCCTGACTGAGTGCTGTGATTGATACCCTGTGGGGAGCTTACGCATTTGTTGTCTTGACTGAAGCTGTTGTAATCCATCTTTGAATTGTTTGCAGTCTGTAGCTGCCTTTGCGGTCTCTGCTGTGGCTTCCCAGTGGGAGAGAACTGGCAAACCCTTCAACCCACTCCTGGGGGAGACATATGAGTTGATCAGGTAAGGAGGGTTCATAATGAATGTCTTCAGAAGGGCTGTTGGATGGCAGAAGAGCTCAGTTCTGTCTATAGCATTGATTCCTCAGGTCAGGATAGATGGTTGGAGTTAGGAGCTACTGAAGTATTTGGAATGCTGTGGGTAAGAAGGTGTTCATACATGTGGAATGTGATGTTAATGATGGAATAGAACTCTGGTACCATAAGAAGGGTTGGCATAGATTCTTAGAGCAGGGGTCTCCAGGATGGAGGCCATGGGTGTAGACCTATTGATATATTAGTACCACATGGCCAAGACATGGGAAGTCACTAGTTTTCAACAAAAAGATAGAACCAGAACTAATAGGTAGGACTGTGCCGTTTGCTGCAGCACTTTGATGAGAGAGAAATAAACCAAAGAGAGGAGAAACCACTGAGCTCACTGTTTAGTTCATGCCTATGTTGCAGGACAGGCCCCTGTCCTGCAGGCCCCTGTTGGCTGAAGTTCCTTTGTGTAGTTTCTTCTGGGTAGTATCATGCCTCTTGGAGCCCTTAGAATGTGAGGCTCCCTGGGCAGCAGGGATGGGGCAGATGGTTGTCAGTGCTCCTACACGTGAGCAGTATGTACCCCTCCATCCTCATCCTTGGATGCAGTAGATCTCTGAGCCTGGACCCTGAATCTTAGTTCTTAGGATGGTGGTGATCCTCTAGAGGGCTGGACAGGGGGATTGTTGCTAACTCTTTGTCAACTCTAGGTCTCCTGCAATTATGCAGAAAACTGTCTTGGAGAAGCTGCTGTGGTGACAACACTCCAACCACATGTCACATACCCCTGTTGCGTTTTGATCTCATCTTGCCTGAGCCTCCAAGGTCTAGTTACTAATGTGTACAGTTCCTAATAGGCCCATTTGTGCTTTTCAGGGTCATTCTTAGTCTGCTACTCTGGTACCTATCATTCAGTGTTGAATCTGTGGCCAGTATAGTGTTGTGCTTATGCCTGGGGATTGCAGAGACCAACAGGGTAGTTTAGTAATTAGATCTTCTCTGATGGAAGGATGGGGTATTCTCATTGGCTGGCATAATGGTTATTTGCCACAGGCCATGGGGCTGCAGGCAGGAGGGCCAGCACCTGCCACCTGCTCTGTTGTCTTTTCTATAGAGAAGAGTTCAGACACTGCCCTGGAATCGGGGTCAGCTGGTAATCTGAGGAATTCACTAAGGGAGTGTGTTGGTGTTTTGGCCATGATAATGTTCTACATAGAATATGGCAGTGCTGAAGTAGAAAACAGATGTATCTGCCAAAGACAGATGGCATCAACATCTTTATAGATTTTTCTTGTGTGTGAGATGCTAATTGATGAGTTGCATTGTATCATGATCACTTTTCCTTAGCTGGGCATGGTGGCACATGCCTTAATTCTATCACTTGGAAGGCAAAGGCAGACAAATCTCTGAGTTTGAGGTCAATCTAGTTTACAGAGCGAGTTCCTTGACAGGCATGACTCAAAAACAAACAAAAAGCCATGATCATTTTCCTTGATGTTCTAGTTTAATTTAATTCCTTTTCTGTTTTGGGGTTTTGGTTTTTCAAGTCAGGGCTTCTCTGTGTAGTCCCGGCCATCCTGGAACTTGCTCTGTAGACCAGGCTGGCCTTGAACTTGGAGGGTCCACCTGCCTCTGCCTCCCAAGTGCTGGGATTAAAGGTGTGCATCACCACCGCTTGGCATGTTACAGTTTTCTAAATGGTAGTTTCTTGTTGATTCTAAGACCGTTTTTCTGGTCGCAGTGTTTTCTGTGTCATAGTTTAATTTTTTCTTTGTCATAAGAGTAATGACATATTGAGCAGTCAGTGAACTCAGAGGACGGTTTCTCTGTAATTCGAGGTGGTTCTTGGGCTTTCTGGTTGCTGATTATTCTTTCAACCAGCCTGGTCCCATAGCAGTGTCAGCCCCAAATGAACACAGAGATAGATGCTATATTAACTATGAAACTGTCAGCTGATGACTAGGGTTTCTTATTGGCTAGCTCTGTCTTCATTCAACCCATTTCTATCATCCATGTATTGCCAAGAGGCTGTGGCTTACCCAGTAATGCTTGGCATGGTGTTAACTCCTTCGGTAGCATTGTGACTGTGGCAGGCTTCTCCCTACCTTTCCCAGAATTCTCCTCATCTCCTAGTCCTGCCTATCTTGCTGCCCTATTGGCCACTAGCAACACAGTGTTTTATTCATCAACCAATAAGAGAATGAGACTCTTAATCTCAGGATTGTGGGTTCATGCTCCATGTTGGGTGCCATTTTGTAAGTATGAGTTTTCTGGCCAGTCAGGTACTGCCACCCTTGGGCCCCAAATAAGCATGCAGACACTATATTAATTGTGAATTGTCATTTTTGTCCATGCAGGCTCTTTGGGGACCTGCCAAGATAGTACACTGTAGTTTGGGAAAGTAAAAACACATTAGCTCCAGCCCCTGGTCTTCCTCACACTCTGTTAGTCCATTCATCACATACCAAGATTTGAGGTTCAAATCTTGTGTAGCTGTCAGGAAATTATCAAAGTAGTCTTTAAAAAGAAAAGATAGGAGCCCAGCAATGGTGGCACATGCCTTTAATCCTAGCTCGCAGAAGGTGGAGATAGGCAGAACTCTGAGCTTGAAGCCAGCCTTGTCTATAGAGCAGTTTTGGGGCAGCCAGGACTGTTACATGAGGGAGGGAGGGAAAGTGGGAGGGAGGAGGAAAGGAAGGAGGAATAGAAGAAGATTGGTTTTGGGTGACTTGAAAAAGAAGAAAGCTTTTTTGAGGCATGGTGGCTCATACCTCTAAATTGTAGCACTCAGAGAGTTAAGCAGGAGGATTACAAGTTCCAGGCCAGCTTGGGCTACATAGCATGAACCTGTCTCAACAAAATAAAAGAAAAAGCAGCAGCAGTAGCTTCAGCCACCATATGGATAAGAGCAGGAGTAGCTTGAACTGCTGAATGGGGTGTAAGACAGGATTTAATTCAGAGGCTGAACTGAAGTTTCACAGGCTGCCAGGAAACCTCCCTCACAGTGGGTTTGGCATGTGTTCCTCTCCAGTCCTGCTTGTTGGTGTCTCTACACTGAGCTTCCCTGACACTAAGTGGCCCTGCCCCACAGTACTGCGCAGACCTGGCTGTGTACAGCATCGTTCATCCCTTCAAATCCCTCTTGAACAGCTAAAAATATACTTGCTTTTCTTAGACAAGTATTCATTTTGTAGATTACATACCTTGGCAGGCAACCTTTTAAAATCTAATTTTTCAACTTTCCTTCCTCTGTAATGATTGGGAATTCTGATTCCAGCTAAGTTAGTAATTATGTGGTTTAGCTTTTATAATTCCTAATGACTACAACTGTAGGTGTATTCATAGTTCCGGAACAATTAAAAACTGACATTTTTATTGAATAAGGGAGTCTGCTAAAAATCCTATTTCCTGGCCAGGAATATTTTGGGATCTTAAGACATTCCACCATAGAAGTTCTGGGAGCCCATGCCAAGCCTGGACAGAACGCCCTTCATAGGCTTTTGGTTCAGTTGGGCTGACTGACCCTGGGAGACTGCATCTGAGTCCTGCCTGCCCCATGGTTGTAAGGCTCAGCTGTCAGTGGAACAGCAGCAGCCAGGTGGAGGCTCCCTCCCAGCAGAGCTTGTGCAGTGGTGGGCAGGTGTGCTGCAGGGTAATCACAGCTGGATGCTTCTGGGCCCAGGTAGTTGGGAGGGCAGAGCATGCCAACTGGCCAATTAAGCTGGTGGGTAAGCTGGTGACCCTTTGTAATTGCTGTCACTAATGTGGCTTTTTTTCTTCCCCTTCCATTCTTATTTTTGGACCTAGGGAAGACTTAGGGTTCAGATTTATATCTGAACAGGTCAGTCACCACCCTCCCATTAGTGCATTTTATTCAGAAGGTCTCAACCAAGACTTCATGTTCCATGGTTCCATCTACCCAAAGCTGAAGTTTTGGGGCAAGAGTGTCGAGGCAGAGCCCCGGGGGACCATCACGCTGGAGCTTCTCAAGTGAGTGACAAGAGCAAGTGCCCTGCTCTGACTGGGAGGAAGTTGTCCCCTCCATGTCTCGAAAGGCTTCTTTCTGGGGAGATCCCTACCTTTTGTGGGCTGACAGACTTTTCTGCTCGCAGCATTTCTTGTGCTAGGCTTTCTGGTGAGGAGTGTTCCTCTGTCCACCGATGTGGATGAGTCTCACAGCCTCTCACACACTGATCAGCGCTACACACTTTAGCCATCAACTATTGCTGTATGATAACCCCAAGCCCAACAGCCCATCACTGCTTAGCTTAGCTTCTTACCTCTAAGCTGCACATAGACAGGCGGGCCCTGGATCAGCAAGAACTTCACTCTCGGCCTTAGACTCCCTCTCCAGTGCTGTTCTGCCTTAGGCAGAGGAACCCTGTAGAGAGCAGCTAAGACAGGAGACTGCAGTAGCCGCCCCTCAGCCACACACACATACCTCTGCTTGCTGATGGTCGCATAGGCATCTGTGTTTGTCTGACATATGAAATTGAGGACCTGGAGGTGAGGATCACTGGAGAGGCCTCTTAGAGGCTGTCCTGTCCTACTCACATCAGAGATACTCAGCCGGTGGCAGGTCTGCATATGCTATAGTTTGAAATCCATGGCAGCCCCTACAGCTGCAGTTCAGTTGCTACCGTGATCCTCTATTATGAGCCTGCTGTGGGGGAGCATCGATGTAATATTTGCTCTGCACTGGCCATTTGCCTGACAGTTTTTAAGAATCTAAGGCTGGGTAGTTGAGCACCCCTTCAATTCTAGCACTCAGGAGGCCAAGGTAGGTGAATCTCTCAGAATTTAAGGTCAAGCCTGGTCCACATAGTGAGCTCTAAGATAATCAAGGTTGCAAAGTGAGACCCTATCTCAAAAATTCATTTTGAGAGAGTCCAGATATGTGTCCTCAACCACCCTGTGTCAAGATGCTTTTGCTCCTAGCTGTGGCTCCTTGATGCAGCCTCCCTCCAATAGGCACAAGTCTGGGCACCACTGTGTTTCATGTTGTGGGGTCATTTCAAAGGAGGAGGCGTTGGGTGTCCATGGCAGCAGCCCTCTCCTACCCTCCTCGCAGCCAGGCCAAGGCTGGGGCTGTGGGTCTCACCAGCTTCCCTCTTGGCAGCTTCACAGGAGCGCTGTCTCTCTTTTGTTTTCCTCTCCCTTTATTGCTTATTAACTTGTCTTGACATTTAAGTAGAAAGCTTTGTTGATGCTACAAAGGAACGGAGAAATAGATTCAGATGCATGATAACTAAATAGCCTGCTCTGGAAAGACTTCAAAGCACTGCTTTGCTCCCAAGAAGCTATGGTCTGCATTTGCCTGGCCATGGCCTTCTGGGTCACCCAAGTTCTGACTTCACTGCCCTGACCTGTTTTTTGGTGCTTTCACAGACACAATGAAGCCTACACGTGGACCAACCCCACCTGCTGTGTGCACAATGTCATCCTTGGGCAGCTATGGATTGAACAGTACGGGATAGTAGAGATCCTAAATCACAGGTGACAGGCCCATCTGTGTATTTGGCATGGTGATTCTGAGCCAAAGGTGACAGGCCGAGCTGCATATGGCAAGACACGCCATGATGAACTGGCTTGTCCTAAAGGGAACTGTCTGTGTCTGCATTCCTTCTCTCTGGACTTCTAGCCCTACATTCCCATCCCTCAGCTTCCCTCCTGCAGTGGGGCCCCTACACATGGTGTCTGCTAGATTTAGTTGTGTTTGGTATTGAAATAATCAGGAATGCCCCATGTTTACTGGGTGTTTTTTTCATTGCCATTGTTAATTTATTTGAAAATGAGAAGTGCTCCTAAGTATTGTCAGTGCTCAGTGAAAATGTCGTGTAACTATGCCCCGACATTACTCAAGGGCCTAGGCTTACAGCAGGAAGCTTATGACTCATTGGCTTTGCTTGTTAACACCTTTGTGAGAGATAATTTATAAATCACAAAAGTCACCTAATTTCTAAATGTGCACTGAAGTGATAATTTAGTAAATTACCCTAGTTGTGAAAACAGTCACCCCAAGTCAGTTACAGAACCTTCCTGTCAACCAGCAAAGGCCCCTTATTAATTTAACTATCACTCACAGCCTCCTTTCCTAAGTGGCCACGTCCTTTGTAGCTTGGTTCTCTAGACATTTCACATAAACTAATGACTGTTTGTTCCCACAGAACTGGAGATAAGTGTATACTTCACTTCAAGCCATGTGGATTGTTTGGAAAGGAACTTCACAGAGTAGAAGGGTACATTCAGGACAAAAAGTAGGTCTCCCCATTGGTGCCCAGTGGGGTGGGTCTGTAGTGGCCAGTGCTGTACCTATGTGTGGTTATGCAATGGTGTCTGTTAATGATGGAAGCAATGCTAGGTCTTTTTTCTCTTCTATTTTTAAAGGATACATTTTTGAGTGTAGTCTCTGGTGATAGGAAAGTGAAGCTTGTCCCCTCTGGAGAGAGAAGATAAGTTAGCCTAAAAAAATAGGCATTTTTGCCAGGTGGTGGTGGCTCACGACTTTAATCCCAGCACTCAGGAGGCAGTGACAGGTAGATTTCTAAGTTCAAGGCCACCCTGGTCTACAGAGTGAGTTCCAGGGCAGCAGAGAAACCCTGCCTTGGAAAAAAGGAAAAAAATGAAACAGCTTTACTCAGGGATAATGTGACTTTTGTCCCCATTTGTTTAGTTTCATTTTTTGAGATGGTCTTGCTGTACAGCTCAGGCTGGTATCAACCTCCCAAATGCTGGGTTAGGCCTGCATCGCTTTGCCAGGCTCTAGTGCTACAGTTTTACAAACAGAACTGAGAGTTTTAACACTTGACCGTGTGGGCACCCACTTTACATATCAGCAAAGCACACGGGCATCCACGGTTCATGTGCCCACACTATTCCACTCTGTAAACCAGATGTTTCCTTCTCCCTTTGGTGAAATTATGTTCTGGGTCTAAATTGTGTCTCTCACCAAGCGTTCTTTAGTAATAGAATGCCAAGAGTCAGTTCTTTTGTTCTCTATGCGTATCCCTAGGGAACCAGAGACTCTTCTGTTCCAACCTCTGTGTTAATGTGCTGTAAAGGACATAGGCCCTGTTGTGATCATAATGGTGACCAAGGGCACCAAGGCATCTTTTGAGATTGGCCTGCCCATGGTTTTGAAACAGGCTGATGTTTCAAGCCAATGGGAGAGTCTTGATTTGACCTGTTGGTTTTGTATCCTGGATCTAAGCATGCTTCCTCTTTTCTTTTTTCTTGTTGTTGTTGTTGCTATTTGTTTGGTATATGCATGTGTATGTTTGTGCATATGTGTTTTATACATGAACATGTATGTGGAAGCCACAGATACTAATGCTTGGTATCTTCCTCTATTATTCTGTCTTAGTTTTTATTTTTAAGACTGGGTCTCACTGAACTTGGAGATCACTGATTTGGCTTGACTGTCTGGCTAGCTGGGTCTGTATCTGCCGTCCCAGTACAGGGCTAATATCCAGCTTTATGTGGATTCTAGGGATCTGAATTTGAGCCCTTGTGCTTATGCAGCAAGTTCTCACTGAACGTTCTCTTCAGTCCCAAGCACACTTTTCCCCCTTGGAGTTAGAGTTGCTACTATACTGACTGACTTGCGGAGCTGGGCTCAGTGCTGCAAGCACCTGTGTGTGCAGGTGTGTTCTCCTGATAGCCCCCTCCTGCCAGGGCAGCACTCCCCAGGGAGCATGTGGCCACCACATACCTCCTCCAACAGGAAAAAGGAAGAGAAAGTCTACACTGACGTGAGGCGGTGTGTGTGACTGTGCTGTGGAACCTTCCAGGGCTGTGATTAGATAGAGATGACAACCAAAGAGAGAGCAAATGCCATCAAGTGACCCTGGAAGGCGTTATGGGTGGAATTGATAGAAAAAGATTTGAAGGACTCACAGTCTGTCAAAGCCCAGCGGTAGAGCCTTACCCCACCCCAGCAAAGGACCAGCACACATAGCTTTACATTTAGGAAAATAATGTTTGTGCTGTTTTCCCCTTGTTTTCCAAGGTGCTGGGGCCCGTTGAGGCTTTTGTGCCTTCATTTTCAGGGTAGGGATACTTTGTCTCCAACATCATGAAGGAGGTCCTGAGACAGGGAGTTTCTACCTTGTAGCCACACCTGGAGGTGTCTCAGAATGTGGGGACTAATGAAGTGGGCACCAGGTCAGCATTAAATTGCTGCCCTGGAGATGACTGTTAACTGTTAACTCCTTGGCTGCAGCAGGAAGAAGCTGTTTATAATTTATGGCAAGTGGACAGAATGCTTGTGGGGCATCGACCCTGTCTCATACGAGTCCTTTAAGAAACATGAAAGGAGAGGTGACCACCCCAGGAAAGCCAAGATGGTGAGTGCCTGCAGCCGACCCTGTCGGGTGTGTGGAGGCAGGGAGGCCCTCCAGGAGCACTGCTTTGGGCCTCCCTCAGCCAGGACGTGTGTGTAGTGGATGGAATATGTCTGTCCAGGCAGAACTGCCTTCCATCTGGGTTCTGGTATGGGGGCAGAGGTGGGTCTGACTTCATTTTGATTATGTTGTTCTTCTAAAGCTGGAAGCTCCAGGGGACGCAAGCCGCCTTTTACACAGTCTTCTTAAGAAGTCAAGTGCATTTCATTTCTGTTTTCCAGCTCTGAGTTCTCAGTAATATGCTCAGCAGTCAGGAAGTATTGGCAAAGACTTTTCCTCTAAGAATTTTAGCATGCCGGTGACTATGCAAAATTAAAATTAAAAGTGATAATTCAAGCTAGGTTTGGTAGCACACGCCTTTAATCCCAGCACTTAGGAGACAGAGGCAGGCAGATATCTGTGAGTTTGATGCCAGCCTGATCTACAAAATGAGTTCCAGGACAGCAAGGATACACAGAGAAACCCTTTCTCAAAAAAAAAGGAAAATTTCCCCAGACATGATAGTACACTCAGAAGGCAAAAACAGGAGAATCTCTGTGAGTTCCAGGACAGCCTAATCTACATGGCAGCTCTTGGATGTTCAAGAAAGGACTACATTGTGAGATCCTGTCTTTAAAAAAATAAGAAAGAAAAGAAAAGAAAAGAAAAATTCCATTTAGATTGTTGAATCTGCTGAATGCCATTCTCACAAACTTTACTGCTCCCCTGGATCGTCTAGCAATGAGTGCCCACCTGTAGCTGTCTGGGTCCAGGTAGCTTTGCTGCTGGCAGGTAGAAGGGCCCCAAGCTTCCATCCTATGTCCCTGGTGTTCTCCTTCAGCGGCTGTGTCTGTTAAAATGGAATGGGCTCATGAGCTTGCCCAGGAGAAGTAACTGCGTTTAGTTGGACAACAGATGGCATCAGGAGGCCCTCTGTCTCAGATGATGGTGTGTGTCCAGAAGAAAGGCAGGCACGTGGCCAAGCATGTCTCTGGGAGGACAGTGTGTGTACCTGTTTCTGTTTCAACATGTTTCTCTTCTCTGTGAGAGAGTAGAAATCCAGCCTGGCACAGCTCTGCAGAAAGCAAAGCCATGTGGAGGTAGGATGTGAGGCCTGATGGGAGAGAGTTTAAGTTTCCTCTCCCGAGTTAGAAAAGGCTTTGGCTTTGCACGGGGACTTGGGAGCAAGTCTTCAAGTGCTCTGTGGACAAGGCTCCTGGCCAGTGGCCATACTGAGATATTCTGTGTTTCAGGATGATGGCCCTGAGAAAGCTAACAGTGATGTGCCTGGCGATGTGACAGACGATGTTCCTGTGGCTCAGGAGACTGTGCAAGTCATCCCTGGCAGTAAGCTGCTCTGGAGGATCAACAGCCGGCCCCCCAACTCAGCTCAGGTCTGTGTCCTGTATCTTAGCACCTCTCTCTGAGACCAGGCCTGTCTACTGCAGATTAGTCCTGTTTGTACCTTCCCAGATGGGCCCACAACTTTTCTGTCTTGTTCTTGGATGTAGCGAACCAGCCGTCTCCAAGCACACAGGGAGACTCCATCACATCCCACAATCCTGAGGGCCCTGACTCCCTGGAGCTGCATGTCCAGCCTGAGAGTGACTTGTGCCGTTTGTAGTGCCCATGTGGGACTTGGGAATAGTGTGTGGAGATCCACCTAGCCCTGGTACTTTTGATGCAGAACTCGTGGCTGAGTCTGTATCCCTGCAGCATTGGGGCTTCCCATTCTCCATCCTGTCAGAGCTCTTCCTGAGCACTCGTGCTTGGCTGGAGAGAAGGCCTGGCCATCAAGCATGATCATTGCTCTTTCAGGGGACCTGAGTTCAGATCTCAGCACCCATGCCAAGCAGTTCACAGCTACCTGTAACAATAGCTCCAGGGGGTCTAACACCTCTGGTCTCTTGAGTGGACTTGCACACACCCATACACAGATATATACACTCTTATGTTTTTGGCTGAGCCATCTCTCCAGCCCCAGATATATACGCTCACACATACATGTAATTAGAAAATAAAAATAGCCAGATGTGGCACTGTTCACCTTTTAATCCCAGCACTGGGGAGGCAGAGGCAGGAGGATCCTCTGTAGTTTGAGGCCAGCCTGGTCTACAAAATGAGTTCCAGGTCAGCCAGAGCTACATGGTGCAACCCTATCTCAGGAACCAAAATAAAACCTGGTGGTGGTGGTGCACACCTTTAGTCCCAGCACACAGGAAACAGACAGGTGGATCTCAGAGTTCAAGGCCAACCTGGTCTACAGATTGAGTTCCAGAGCAGCCAGTACTATACAGAGAAACCCTGTATTAACCCCCATCCCCCCTGCCTGCCTCCCAAAAAACCCAAACAAACAAAAATAATACAAATTTTTTTTATTTTTTAAAAAGGAGGGGCTCCAGGGTTTGTGATGTAGCTTAGTGATGGGGTTACCTAAGTGCACAAACAAAGCCCTAAATTATAGTAAGCTTTTTCCTTGGACCACTAGCCCGTAATGATTTGGAGACATACTATTAATTATGAAAGCTTGGCCTTTAGCTTAGGCTTCTTCCCAACTAGCTCTTATAACAAATTAAGCTGTTAATGTGTGTTCTGTCACGAGGCTTTTACCTCTCTCCCGTTCTGTATGTCCAACTTGTTCCGATCTGGCTGGCATCTCTTGCATGCCTAGATTCTTCCCAGGTTCTTCTCCCTGGCAGTCCTGTCTCACCTCTCCCTCCTGGCTATTGGCCATTTGGCTCTTCATTAAACCAATCAGAAGGCACCTTGGCAGACACATCTTTACAGTGCACAAAGATTATCTCAAAACAGCCCCCCAAATTCTGTCTCCAGTGATAATGTCAGAAAATGTGGGGCCAGTGACATGGTACAGTGGGTGAGAGTGTTTGTACTGTTCCTGATGACTGCAGTTTCATCCTTGGTACACATGGTAGGTGGAAGGGATCAATTCTCCCAGGTTATCCTCTGATCTACACACGTGCACAGAATAAATACACATAACAAGAACAAAGTGGCCCGTTTACTTGTGAATGTGTTGCCTTACTGTATCAGCTTACTTTTATTGCTGTGATAAATTACTGGCCAGAACTAATGTGGGAAAGAAATGCTTACACTTCCAGATAATGGTTTGTTACTGAGGGCTTTGAAGTCTAGGTAGGAGCTCAAGCAGGACAGGCAGAAACTGAAGCAAAGATCGTGGAAGAGTGCTGCTCACTGGCTTGTTCCCTGGGTTTATGGTCAGCTACTTACAACCTCCAGGACCATATACCCACGTGTGGGTCACACATCGATAATTAATCTAATTAATCAAGAAAATGCCCCCCACTCTTTCCTATGATCATCCTAAGGAGGCATCTTCTCAACGAGGTTCTCTTTCCCAGACGACTCGAGCTTGTGTCAACGTTGCCAAAATAAACAACAGCAAACAACCCCTGCTTAGCATACTCAGTATGCTCTGTTACCATCAGAAAGCATGGACTAGCTGAGCAGTGTTCTCCTAGATTATTTTTTAGGAAAATAATGCCTGTGTGTTCAAGAAAAAATTTTGAGGTGAACTTGTTCCTTTTTTTGTTCAATGTGCTGGTTTAGTCCCTCTCACCTGCCAGGGGCTGGCTTGGTGGATCTGGGGTAATGGAAACAGGGCTCTGGAAAGGCAAGAGTGCACCCTTACAGGAGCTGCTTCCCCTAAGGGCACTGGGCAAGCTGGTAACAGAACAGGGAGGCTGTGGTGATGGAGCAGGGTTTTAAAGAGAGTCAGGCATGAGCTGTGGCCACCTGAGGACAGATTCCCCATAACATTTTCCTCATAGACCCCAGGTGCTATGGAGGTCAAGCTTCAGGGATCCTGGCAAATCTGCTATTGTTTTGAGTGGTGTGAGTACCCTGGAAGTCATTGAAGCAGGGTATCCGGAGAAAATTTAACATTCCCTAAAACCCGCGAGCCACGTGCTTGTAGACGATGGTAAGAAAGAGGAGAGAGAGCCAGTTAAGAAGAACAGAGGAGTCAGGACCTAGAAAGGCTGTAAAGCAGTTTGAGGGATGTCATGTGCACAGCAAATGGCAGCCCTGACTTTTGTGCTGAGCTTGAGATTCCTCTCAGGCATCCAACACAATCTGACTGAAGACTGAATAGACGGACACCCCAGAAGCCAGGATAAATGCCTTTGCTGTTTGAGTAGGACACTGCTGCCCTTCTGTTGAGCAGGTGACTGCTCACTCTGGGTTTAGGGTACCTACAGATCAGGCCAGGCAGGTGTATCGTCCCCATGCGGCCGCTCAAACCGTGCTTCTGTTTCTCCTGCAGATGTATAACTTCACCAGCTTCACTGTGAGCCTCAATGAATTGCAGTCAGGCATGGAGAAGACACTGCCACCCACAGACTGCCGCCTCCGCCCTGACATCCGTGGCATGGAGAATGGCAACATGGGTAATGCTGGGTCCTCTCCAGAGGGCTTGTGTGGCTGAGGAGTTAAGGTTTTCTCTGTGAGAAGGATGCCCAGACCCTTCCTCCAGACTGTCAAACGCTGGTGTCCTCCAAGGACAAGTGCTTTACAAAGCAATGATCAATTTTGACTTCCAGCTTGCCACAGACCAGTCCTTTGTAAAATGTTAAAATTTAGTTTTATTTTCCCAGACAGGGTTCCTCTATGTAGCTCTGTAGACCAGACTGGTCTTGAACTCACAGAGATCCGCCTCCCAATTGCTGGGATTAAAGGCATGCGCCACCACCGCCCAGCTGTAAAATGTTAAAATTAAATTGAAAATGAGTTAGCCAAGTGTGTGACACAGGCCTGTTATATTCCAGTACCTGGGAGGTTGAGACAAGAGGATTATTATAAGCTCCACGCCAGACTAAGCTACGTAGTAAAACCTTGTCTTAAAATAGCAACAATAGAAAAGAAAATGAGTGGGGGGAAAATGAACAATATACAAATCCCGAGGCTTCATTATTTATTTAATTCAGTGGGTTAAAGTTGCATTTCAGAAGCTGGGTGTAGCTCAGGTAGAGTGCCTTTAAGGGCTGACTTCATGCAGAGTGGAGTCCCTGTGAGCAGAGCCGCTGCCCGGGTGCATCTCACTCTGCCCAACACCAGGCAGTCACACTGCAGATAGCACTGTGTGTAGGTTCTCCCTGTGAGAGCTTGTTGCTTGCTTACAAGGCAAGATGATCCTAGACTACATTGCAATAACAGATGAATACAGAAGAAATCCACCTCGTGAGAGGCATGCCTGGGGACGGGGAGAAAGGCCAGAATGCCTGGAGGGCCACTCCCCATCCTGATCCATACTGGGCAGGTGGTACTCCTCCCTCAAAAGTCACCCTTTGCCCTTCATCAGAAGCCATACCCTGCCGGGAGAAGGTTCAGTAGATTTGTCTTCTAATAGTAAATAGACTTGGGGCTCTGTGAGCTCACTGTTGCAGATACTTGCTTCCCAGCACATCAGTCTACACTTGCAGGAATGCTCTCCATGGTCTGGTGTGAATCCTCCCACCCTGCTTGTCCCGGGGAGTGCTCCTCACACTTCCAGGCAGGAGCAACTCAGTCTTAACACCGTTCACTCCACACACTAGAGCCAAAGTTCACTTCCCAGTTTCTGATCAAAATGGGAGTGGTCTTTAGGGGTCACCAGGAGGTCTGATGTCTCTGACATACCAGGAGTTTAAGTGTTTGCTTGTTTGCTTGGATCTAGATCTGGCCAGCCAGGAGAAGGAGAGACTGGAGGAAAAGCAGAGAGAGGCCCGCAAGGAGCGTGCCAAAGAGGAGGCAGAGTGGCGGACCAGGTGAGCTTGAACAGTGAGGCCTTCACACCAGAGCAGGGAGTGAGGGAGCCACACCCACATCATGTTACTCCCTCTTTGTTGCCCAGCCCTGTGGCCAAGTTGCAGCAGTGTTGGGCCCCACCCCTGCTCCCAGTGCTCATGACTGAGCCATGCGCCACAGGCCAGCTTCCCTGGTTAGGAGGCCCCTCCCTCAGGCCCTTCGGCCTTGCTTCACAGCACACCTGATCCACAGTGGTTTTCTCAAAATGGTCAGTTTAAAGGCAGAATAAATATACCCGAGCCAGCTGTTCACATAAACAAGTGGTGAGAGTTTTGATGTTGCCCCACACTTACACCTGTGGTAAGGTCATGCAGTCTACACACAGATCGCCTTCCCTACCCCCGTGTGGTTCCGGGCTGAAGTCTGGGTCCTGCTGTGAGTGAAGGTGCAGCCCTAAGTTGGGCCCACTGCCACTACGGGGGCATGCAGAGGTGCTGTGACTGGGCCACACCAGCTGCTAGGAGCTGTAGCCCTATTTTTGACTCAGATTTGTACAATGGTTGTATTTTTTCTTCAGTAGTCAAAGTACTATAATAATTAAGCATAAGCAAGACACGGACCTCTGTAAGTGCACAGGGACGTTCTTAGTCTTTTGTAAAAATCTTTGGATGGTTAAACAGTTCAGTTCTTGACTGGCTTGTTATTTTTTTATGGTTGCTTTTTATTTTTAAGAAGAGTTTCACTATTGTCCAGAGTAGCTATCTGGGCCTGTGTAGCTGAGACTGCGGGTGTGTGTCACTGCCTACTGGCTCCATCCCTTGTGGTGTTTATATCTGGGCCACACTAACAGCCGTGCCTAATGGCAGGGGTGGGGTTTTGAAACCAGTTTTCTTCTTTCTTTCCCTCCATCCCTTCTCACCTTTGATGAAGATGGAACCCAGAGCTTTATGTGTGTGGAGACACTCTATCACTGTACTACTGCGCCAGCCTCTGTGAGCCAGTTATTGATGCACGGACTCCTGATTTAATTCTATGCCTTTAATGTCCATGGTTTTGGTAATTGCCTTTGTTCTAGAGAAAAACTGTTGAAAGTAATCTTCCTCCATTGGCCTTTTAAAGTACTAAAGAAAACCATAAACCAGGGATAGTAACATGCATCTCAAATTCTAACATTCTGGAAGCTGAGACAGGAGGATCTTGAGTTTGATGCCAGCCTGAGCTATATAATAAGACACTGTCTCAAGAAATAAGATAATTTGAGCGGGCAATGGTGGTGCTCTCCTTTGATCCCAGCACTCGGGAGGCAGAGACAGGTGGAGCTCTGTGAATTCGAGGCCAGTCTGGTCTACAGAGTGAGTTCCAGGACAGCCAGGGCTACACAGAGAAATCCTGTCTCAAAAAAATAAAAGCAAGCAAACAAAAATAAATCCATTGTGAAAATGACATGTTTTTCCATAGAAGATAATTGCTTCTACCTTTTTTCCTTTTGGTACTAGGATTCGGGGCTTTGCACGGAGCAGGCAAATTGCTTGACCACTGGGCTGTAAAACCAGCCCATCACTTCCTGGTGTGCTCCTGATAACAGTAGTTGCTTCTGTTTGGTGCTGTGCATCTGCAGGGGTGCAGACTGAACCTGGTGAGGTTCACCTGCATGGGACCCTCTCCATGCACACATGAGACCAGCCTCTGAAAGTATCCCTGTGGAGTGCTGGATATTGGACTAGACAGTGATGTGGTAGATACCGTGGATTAATAAGAATCGGAGAAAAACAGGCTGAATAGATGCTTATTCAGGGAGAAATAACAACAGAGACAGATGAACACCAGCAGGTTGCTGGTCCCAAGGATGCCTCCAGATGCTCTCTGTTGTAGTCCAGCAAGCAAGAGAGCGCTCCAGGACCCCTCCTCAGACCTAATTCCTCCAGGTCACGGCTGACCCTGTCCCCACCCCCAATGGACATGGTCAGTGCCACAGGTTTGGACAGTAAATATCGCACTACAGGTAGATATCTGTGGGAGAGCACAGCCACATGGAGGTTGGTCAGTTACTGTAGCGGCAGAGTTGTCCACACAGCTGAGAAGACTGACCTAGAGCGCTGCCATCTGCTGACCGCCTTCCTTATGTCCTGCAGGTGGTTCTATCCAGGCGCCAACCCCTACACGGGAACTCCCGACTGGTTGTATGCAGGGGATTACTTTGAGCGTAATTTCTCAGACTGCCCAGACATCTACTAAGTCAGGCCTGGAAGCCCAGGAAGAGGCCTGTGAGGCTGGGCTCTGTGAGTGGCGCTCTGACCTTCACGGGGCCAGACACCAGCTTCCCCGGCCACGATTTGTGGAAATGGCCTCGGACCTGATGGAGGACTTCAGTTAGCCTCTGCCCAGCACTTCACTATGTCACAGCCCCTTCACGGAGCTCCACTTGGGTCTTCACATTCCCTGAGGCCTCAGGAGAACTCTCCAGTCCTTCACACAAGTGACAGTAGTGCACCAGGCCAGCTGAGCTGGCAGCACTCTGTCATAAGACACGCGACAGAGGAAGAGCCGGCAAGGCCTGCGTGCTGCTCTCAAGCCTGCCGTGTGGGTTTCTGGAAGAGTTTCAAACCCAGACCCGAAGGTGGAGGGGAGCTTGGGTTTTGAAAGCAGCAGTGGCCAGGGGTCACTTCACTGTGGGTGGGTGGGTGGCACCCACAGAACCAAGTGGCCGGTTGTCAGACTCTGCTTTCTACCAATCTGAATAAGGCAAAGATTACTTTAGAAAATATTTAAATCGAAACTACTTGAATGTTCTGCTGAAGAGTAGCAAACACATTAATCACCACTGTGTAGTGTCCAGAAAGTGTCCCTGTAACAGGCACAGTGGCAGGGACACTGTGACTTGGATGAGAAACCCCCAGGGCTGCTCCGGCCTCCCAGGAGGCCCTGCCTCTGGTACAGCCACTCCCCACAGCCTCGCTGTCCCTGTGGACCCCTGTCTCCGAGGGGTCACTTCTTCACTCACCTCGCCTGTGTGTTCCCTACCCCTGTCCTGCAGTCTTGTATTTGGTTTCCCAGCATGCGTGTTCTAGTCCAGGCAAGTCCCATCCGGTTGTGTGCAGTGGGAGGTCAGAAGCAGGATGTGCTTATCTGGTGTCATTAAAATTGTTTAAACACAAGCAGGTGTGTCCATCTCTGCATCCCTGTGAAGCGATGGACGTTATGTAGAGATGGCGACGCCAAGGACCACAGTGGAGCTCTTTGCATCAAAGACAACCTACTGTGTGCACATGCCTGTGCTCTGGCACACTTGCACGCATGTGTATTAATACATGTGTGAGTCACTACATCAGGCACTTCTGGATGAGAAGGCATTCTTACCATGTTCAGGCTTATGAACCACCACCTCTGTCATTAAAACACTTTGAAAAGCCAACACTTTTGAGTTGAAGATTTGATTTTATGGCTTTGGAAACTGAAAACAGGTGTTTCTGTGGCAGCCACGGGGTCTCCCAGGGCAAGCAGCTCTGCTCTATCTACTGAGACCCCTTAACAAAGCCTCCGATGGCTCTGAGATGTAGCTGAAGGGTTTGGCGTTGTCCTCCAAGAGGAGATGGTGAAGTGTCTGATAGAACAGGGCACCCTGTGTGTCTGTGTCTCTGAGGGGTCATTTGCTTTTCCAGACCATGACTGTACACACACACATACACATACACACACACACAGAGAGAGAGAGAGAGAGAGAGAGCAGAGCAGAGCTCATTCCCTCCCAAAAGGTGGAAAGCTGAGAATGTTAGCTAATGCATTAACAAGCCAGTGGTTTTACACCTCCATATGATCTGAAGCAAGGCTTTGGGTGTTTGGGGGTCCATCACCATGCACACAGCCCCCATACCCAGCTCTAAACTAGAAATGTAAGGGGAGCTGGGCAGCAGTGGCACAAGCCTTTAATCCCAGAACTAGGGGGCAGGGGCAGGCAGATCTCTGTGAGTTCAAGGCCAGCCTGGTCTACAGAGCTAGTTCCAGGACAGCCACAGCCCAGGCTACACAAAGGAAACCCTGTCTCAAAAAGCCAACCAAACAAACAGAAATATAAAAGAGCAAAAGGGCTTCCAGAAAGGACAGCTGTGTGCCAGAGAACGTAACTGATCGGTGCATCATTGCAACCTCTGCCTGCATCAACACAAGGAAGTTGCCTCTCTCAAAATGTCAGGAGCACCAAAAATGGATGTCTTCATTGGCACACCCCTCACCCTGGACAACTTGAACGCTTTCATCACGAGATTTTCCATGGAAGGTACATATGGAAAGATGGCTTCCTATGCACAATTGCGTGTGGGCACTAACTTGCATGGGGTTAGGTGCTTGCAGAGTAGTACTGTCACTTCAGGTGCCCTTGTGGGAGGAAAGACGGGCAACAGGCTTTTCCAAATTTAATATTCTGAGGTCAGGAACAGTGGTGGCATGCCTGTATCCCAGCATTTGGGTTGTAGAGGCAGGATGGTCAGTAGTTAAGTCATCCTTGGCTACAAAGTGAGCTGACTAGCCTAGGGTGTATGAGGTCATGTCTCAGGAAATGAAATAGAGCTTAGAGCTGCTCAAACTCCTCAAACAGTTCCACTTGTTTTTTACTCTAATCCATGTTAGAATTGAGTACATTTCCATAAGTCCAAGGGGCATTACCCTGACCTGTTAGAGGTTTAGAGCGTTTTATGTAAAAAGTAACTTCTTCAACGATTTAAGTTACTGGCTGTATCTCATTACTCTGGTGGTTCCCTGAAGCTGGGTCACTAGCCTCCACATCCTGCCAGGACTTGGCTGGAAGGAGCAGGCCTGGCCCCGTTGTACATCAGTGTTTTGGACCTGGCCCTCCAGAGTCCAGCTCTTCAGTCCCTGCTGGAGAGTAAACAGGAGGAAGTCCTTTGGCTGCCCCACGGTGCTCCGGAGCATAGTGCACTGAGGAGGAAAGACCATGTACCCGTGTATGTGAGCACCATGTATGTGCGTGTAAACGTGCTTTCATGGCCATGTTGGGAAGCAGGAAGTGTGGGACAGGCTCCCCAGGCTTACAGTGACCACTCATATCAGTGCCACACTCCATAGCCTGGCGCAGAGCACATCTAGGATGACCCTACATGTACAGGAGGATGTCACACAGCCCCTTTGGCTCTGGGGTCTTAGTCGACTTTGAACTAGCCACCTGGTAAGGCAATATACTCAAGCGTAGAGGATATGCCCTCTACTTCCTACGTTCTCATGGTTCAAGCCTAGAAAATCAGAAGAAACTCTTTGGAGCCCCTTCTCTCCATCAGTGAGCCAGACCTGCAGGCATCCCTTTGAGGGATGGTTCCTGCAGGCTCTGGAAAGTTCTCCCTCCAGAAAGGGAGCAACAAATTTTATGCCTCTTTACATCTCCACAGAATAAAGGGTGGAGACATCTCTAAAGTTCCAACATGAACTAGACTGGGATTCCAGTTCCTTGGAGCGTGAGGCAGGGTTACAAGTAAGTATAGGGCATACTTGATTAAGCTAGCCAACTTAGATGAACTGTGTCAAAGGGTAAAAAGAACAGATTGCTCGTCTAGAGCATGTGAGGCCCTAGGCTCAGTTCCCACTACTGAAGGGAGAACACTTTACAGTACATCCTGAGTGTCAGGTGTGTCAGAAGTGCTTGTCTCGATTGGCACTGGGCTAAGAGCAAGGAGGGATGCTCTGCCTCAGCTCTTGGACCCGGAGGAGTTGCACAGGAAGTCCTCGGAGCCACGGCTTAGCTCCTGCCTCAGGACCTGTGGCCTCTTAAAGCAGCTGACCTCTCAAGAACGGATATCTCCTTTGGCTCCTCACTACTCTATCTGCTTGGTGTGAGGTTTTCCCAGTGACAAACGCACTTCAGCTCTTGGTGTGCCCTGTGAAAGTCACCCTCTATACTACCCTCAGAGCCAACTGCACTGACCAGATGTTCAGGAAAGCAGTAGTTGACAGAAGACAGGATATCTGCACTTCACTCTGGCCTGGCCCCTGACCACAGGAGGGTTTATGTCTTCATTCTTCATTATCGTGCCTATGCAAGGCCTCTTACCAACAGCTACCTGCCCACCATTGGAAATGTCAATCAAGAAAATTCATAGTGTACTGTTGGTTTTTATCACTGTCAGTGCCATTTACATTAGCAAAATCAGTCACCTCTGGGTTCTGTTTTTGAGGATTGTGTCCAGATTTCTGAGTCTATAAATGTTAACTTTCAGGCTTGAGTAGCAATTCTTTGGAAATGGCTTGTGGTTGACATTTATTTTACATTGAACAATTTTTTTTTTTACTGTCTCGGGGCTCTGACTTTTCTGGAAAGAGCTACAGGCAAGTCCTCATATCCAGCTGGAGTGGCTATTTGGACTGGGTACTTTGTAGAGCGGGCCCAGCAAATTGATTGTCTTAAAATGGCTTGTCCTGGTGGAGAGGGGATTAAAGGGTGGCGTGTCTGGGACTTTCTGAGCTGTGGCAGCTCTGTGTAATTGTCCTCTCTCTTGGGGACTAGAGATTGCTGCTAGAAGCCATGAAACAGCTGGGTCAGGGGTCAGCCTGGCTGCTTGGGAGGGAGCCCAGACTGTTGATAGAGGGACAGATGGTCCCCCCAAATTCACGTGCTTGGAATGCTCCCACTGTGCTGGGCAGATGGTACCATTGCCACAGGTGCTCAGTCACAGACCTGACTGCTACCTCCAGTCTGACCCCAAGGAACAAGCCCCAAAAGGTAGAGCTGCCCGGGGCTTAGATCTGCTTGGTGGGAAGTACTCAGACCCTTCATTAGAGAGGTGTCTCCTTCAGAGTGTAACATTGCCAGTTCCAACAAGTTCATACTGTTGTATGGCCATATGCTGCCAAAGCCCACAGGAGAAACCACGTAGGTGGCCCACTGCAGGCTTCCCCGGCCCCGACCACCCCAGCCTGGCTTTGTCCCCAAGATTCTGCCCTTCCTTTCAGTCTGGTTGTTTTCCTATCGAACAGTGCATTTGAAAAGTCACTGTGGGCGTGTGTGAGCCAGAGTTTGTTTGTTTCTGTTACTCAGCACTGGAGTGTCCCCTTTTGTCTGCTCACCAGCTGATAGATACTTAGGCTGCCTCAAATTTGGGGCAACTGTGAAGAAAATCGCCAGATATTTGTACACAGGCTTTTCTGTGAACATCTCCTTTCTCTCTGTTGTTTGTATGCAGAGACCAGAGTTGAACCTTGGGTCATTCTCAAGTGCCATCCATTCGTTTCTTGAGACAGTCTCTTTGTGGGACCTGAAGTGCATGATTAGTCTGGACTGGCTGGTGAGTGAGTTACAGGAATTCACTCATCTCCACCACCGCCCCCAGCATGAGGGCTACAAGCATATGCTGTGCCTGGCTTTTCTGCGTGAGTGTTGGAGCTCAAACCTGGGACCTTGTGGCAGCCACTTTAACAACTAAGGTATCTACCCAGACCCTTTGGGGTTTTGAGGTCAAATCTCGTGTAGCTTGAAATCACGACCCTCAGCTTCCTTCGTACTGGGATTATAGGCGTGAGTCACTGTACACAGCCTGTGTACCAGCTTGCATTTCTCTTAGATAAATGCCCAAGAAATACTAGCTGGGCCACATGGGAGTAGTACTTTCATTTCAAAACAAAACAAAACATTGTCACCTCATCAAAAATGAACCAGAAATGACACATGGAGGAAGTACTCCGCATTGTCACAGGGCGTTAGGGAACTGCAGACGACGACAAGGACGTGCCACATGCTCTGTTGACACATGGTGCAGGTAGGCACAGCAGCAGGACACGCAGCACTGCAGTGGGCATGCAGAAATGCATGGCAGAGACTTAGAAAACTAAACATACCTCTATACATGTACTTGGGAGATAGAAGCAGGCAGATCTCTGTGAGTTCAAGGCCATCCAGGTCTACAGTGAGTTCCAGGACAGCCAAGGCTATGTGGACCCTATGCCATAAAAAGAAAGACTAGCCATGTGGTGCACACCTTTAATCCCAGCACTGTGGAGGCAGAGGCAGGTGGATCTCTTAAGTTTGAGGCCGGCCTGGACTACAGAGTGAGTTCCAGGACAGTCAGGACTGTTACACAGAGAAACCCTATCTCAGGGAAGGAGGGAGGGAAGGAAGGAGGGAGGAAACATCCAGGAAGCATACAAAGGAAGATGA